CTTCCCTCTTCTGTAAATCTGTTCTATCATCCAGAATTACTTCAATAACGAACATCTGCTTGCTCTTTTTTGTTAGCTTTAAATTTCGTTGACAAGAGAAATCAATAAATTTTTGCATCGCTTTGTGTGTCTATTTCGCTTTTACTTTTTCAGTCAAGGCTTTAGTTTTTAGCTTTCAGCTAATAAAGAGCAAGTATGAGCCTTAAGGCTTCGTTTGTAGTGCAAATGCAATGCATAACACGAAAGCACTTTTCTTCTTCTCACTTTTCCAAATTACTCACATCATTTTGCTTGTCCGTTTTTTTTTATCCTCGCCGTATTTATTTGCTAATAATTTTTTTTTCGTTATAGTTATTGTTTTAACAATTTTTTAATGTTTGGAAAATTGAAATTTTGTATAATTTTACAAAATATATTAATTAAATTTTATTGATTGGAAAATTTTAAAGAAATATTATCAAAAAAACTCATTCCATCTAGCGAATGCATATCATTTTATCTCAAAAATTTAGTAATATATGAGAAAAAATTCCTTAGAATATAATATTGGTGACGATTAAGTAAATACACGATTATCGTTAAGCAGCAAGCAAACTGCAAAGTACAAACTGCAAGTCAGTGGATATGCATTGCAGGTGTATGCTAACAAATTAGCAATTAGAAATGTTGGAATATGCAAAATTATGCAACTGTTCTATATGCTAGTTCGTTAAAAAATTTGGAATATATTGTAAAATAATAAAATTTGATTGAAAAATAGAAGAAAGAACAAGTAAGAGTTAGCTTATTATAAGTGATATAATATGTATACTTTCTAGTAAACAGACGAGTAATTTAATTAATGAATTCAAATATTTTATAGCATGCTTTGAATGGGAATGATGTGGAAAAGCAGGAACAGCAAAGATTAGTGGAGAAATTGGGTAACAATTCGACAGCTACCGATAATGATATTGATGATAACGATGGAATGGATAAATCATATTCCCCATCGTTTGTTTTCCTTATCAATTTTAATTCAGTATAAAAAGTATTTGATATGAAGTGGAAAAAGTTTACGTTTAAGTGGAGCAGAAAAATTGAGAAATTAAATTGAGGGACGATAAAGTTCAACTTTAGAGAAGTTAGAAAAATAGCAAGACTTTTTTAAATTAAAATATAGATGAAAGTAATTGAAATAGTGATGAGTAATCGAAGTAATGAAATTTAGAAAATACTACAAGCAATCAAAATAAGTCCTAAAAATAATGAATTCCGAGGTAATCCGTATAACGAAAAAAAATTAAATATATTTCGTTTATTATTAAAAAGATAGATTTGAATTTCATTTTTACTTGATTATGCTTTAATATTAGCTTCATGGAGTTATAAATACAAAAATTTATGCATTTAACAAAATTTGCAATAAACCTTTTTCCAACCCGAAATAATCAATATTGAAAAGTTAGAAAATAAAGTTAAAATAATAAGTCATAATGGATGAAATAAAATTAATTTTGTTAATTTGATTTCTTTCCGAATTTTTTGAATTGTATATTTTAATTTTAGCTTCAACAAATAATATTATTTTTTTTTAATGGTTGAAAAAGAATTTGAAAAATGAATTATTAATTGCAGAGAGGGATTATCATCGGAAGTGACGTGTACAACTGTTTCATCCACGTTATCATTACCACCTTTAACAACAGCAACAACAATGATCGGTGTGCCGGATTCGGAATTTTCCATTAATGACAGTAATGGTATGAGATGTCAAGGGAATGATAACAATGATAACACTGATAATATCGGTAAGCAATTCCACTTTTTGTCTTAAATTTATTTCCCGACAAAATTTTATTTTACTTTCTAAACTTATGATAACGATAATACAACTGATAATGTCGATAAGAACCTTCACTTTTTTTTATCCTAAATTTATTTTTCGAAAAAGTTTCATTTTAATTTCGGAACTTTTTCTTTCATTCTGCACACACTTTTTTAATATTTTTATAAATTTTTGAGAATTTTGTTTGAAAAATTACATCTAAAAAATTTGAGCTCAATTTCTTTTTT